GCACCAATGTGTTGGAGGAAACACCATCCAACTGATGACCGAAGTCAGCCTGCAGGCGCCCGGCCCGCCACAAGGAGACGCTAGAGCGCGATGAGCCAAGTAAAGCCCCCCGGCCAAACCCTCCCCTAACCCGGACGACAATGGGCCAATTGTGCACTGCCCTAAGGGACTCCCGGTCAGGCCTGTTGTTACACAACCTGGCGCTGTGCCTTAGACCGCTGCGCCACTCAGGAGGCCCAGAATGAGACTTTTTATTTGCAAGCATGGACGGCTTGTTCAATAGGGCGATATGGGCGACGCACTGCCAAACGGGAAAAGGAAGGGATTTTTTTTCTAATCAATTATATCACGGCAACGGCAGTTATCAGTGTTCACGTCTGATCTGCCAGCCACTAAATGTCAAATCAGGCTAAAGTCGTGCTTCAAATGGCCCCGCCCATTTTTTGGGCGATTTCAGTCAGGTTGAAAATCGCCCAGAAGTCTCTCATAGCCTGTCATGTAAAATCTATTTTTTTCACATTTCAAAGCTTTCAATACATTCTCTATGGGTGTCTGTGTGCATGCACTTACGCGCTTTCGTCATACGTGACGTAACGTTGAACGTAACTAAGACAATGGCGGCTACCAGCGTCTATGTTGCGACCTGCTGTGTGGCGTTATTTTATGTTTTTAATTTGTAGACTTAGTTTACAAACATTCTGCAAACATTCTGCTTTGGACTGATCTTCGGTTTTGGACTGATCTTGTTGATCGTGTACATACCCGCTACGAACGGACTAAATAATGAAAACGCTGCTGGCAGCAAAATCCCAATACAGCTGGGAGACTTGACTGGATGACAGAGTCCCGGACAGAGAGGTGGAGCCGGCCACCTTCACCCTGGTCAGAGCGGACCGCGATCCTGGTAAGAGAGCGACTCTGTACCCCGACATTGAACTGCTTTCTGTGTCATTGAACCTTACTATTGTTGATAAAACAAGTTTACTGGAGAACGGAGAAAAAGTAGAGACTTTTGGACAAGGTGGATAATTGTATAATATAAGGCAGTTTATTCAGAGGTAAAGATATCTGGAATCGCGTGCACGGACCCGTTTGTCAAACTCGTAGGGAGTTTATCAGAAGAGCCCCTAAACATTGTGTGCTGACATTTTATACAATAAAATGAAGTAGGTTGAATCTAGTAGTTCTGATCTTCTGATTGGTCCTGATGAGTTGGGCGATGTCACCTCCAGGCTAGTGTCACTGTTGCATTGGCTCTGAGTCGGGTTCTCTGTCTTCAGATGTTCAGCCTAAGAGAAGAGGATTTGTGTGTGTGTGTGTGTGTTTGTTATCAGTGTGTGTGTGTGTGTGTGTGTGTGTGTGTTTGTTATCAGTGATGATGTGTGTGTGTGTGTGTGTGTGTGTTTATCAGTGATGATGTGTGTGTGTGTGTGTGTGTGTGTGTGTGTGTGGGTGTGTGTGTGTGTGTCCTCAGGGCAAGAACTCGTGAGTTGGAAGAACTGAGAGACCTATGGCGTGGGTGTTATCCTTAGCCACCTGCTGACAAGGCTGACAAGATAGGACTCTTGTTCATTGTATTGAATACAAAGGCCCAACACAAAATGGGTCATGCACAAGATTTTAGTCAGACCAAGCTATAACATTATATATTTACTACGACAGTACATTCAACCAAAAGCTAATATAACAAAGGCATCAGAGATTATTTATAATCTGTCACAGAAACTGGAATCCATCTCCCCAGATCAGTCAATAAATGCTTCTGGTATTGACTTATATGCTGCCCCTGTCTTCATGTTGTTGCTGGACATATCTTTTTTTAAATGTGTGTAGGTCACCTAAATCATCAGAAAAATTGCCCCTCCTGAGAATTTTTTCAGGAGCCGCCACTGTTTGCAAGTGGATATAGCCGGCGACTGTACAAATATTTACAAACAAAAATAACAAACATGTTGTAAAACGAAAGGCCTAATAACTTAACTGAACCACATAGAGCTATAATAAACGAAAACCCAGGCTAGAATAATGTCTGAAACCCTGGGAGCATGCCAACCTTTCCCTGTCTTCGTCTCAAACAATGAAAGGACAGGAGTTTAACACTCTACCCATCATGCAGTTGACCAATGAGAAACAGCCATATCACATCAGGTTCAATTAACGTTCAATAGCTTGATTTAACATCTTAAACGTCTTTAGATGGTAAACCCACATGCATAACCTTAAGCACACATCAATAAAGTTGCAACAATGCTTTAAGCATAAATACAATTTAGGGATATAATAATAATATCACATTGTGTTTCTTTTGATCACTAAATGTATCAGGAGAAGCACAACAAAAGCTTTCGGCTCCAACGCTCCAAACTCAAACTCATATTAGGCATGTTTCTTTCTTTGACAGGTGACCAACAATCAAGAACAATCAGATCATAAACGGTTTACATTCTCAATGTTATTCATAATAAGGCCTGGCTTTAGATTAGGTGACGGAGGACATAAGGACAATCGTCACAGAGCCGCTTGCGCAATGTGTAGCCTATGATCGGAGTCGGAGCCGGAGCAGAGCCTGCCTGCCTGCCAATATAATCATGGCTTGCTCCCCCTCAGCTCACCAGCTGATGTAGGCTGCGTGTGCAGGATGTAGCGCGTCCTTACTTACCACTGCTAGAGAACTGAACCCTCGCTGCTCTGTGCACCTACTGCTGCTAATATTCTGCTTATTATTGTGGTCTTTCCAGTCCAAGTGCAAATACAAGTGACAAGAAGGTGAGTCGAGTTACAAGTCATGAAAATCGGGACTCGAGTCAGACTCGAGTCCAAGTCCTGAACTTGAGTACTACAACACTGCTACAGATGTAGTATTTTAATTTGATCCCCCTGTTGCAGGAGAACTTTCTTGCAGTGCAGGAAATGTAAAACGCGTAGTGTATTTCAGTTTTAAAAGGCTTCTGAAGTTTGTAATTTCCACTTTGAAATTTGAGACTATACTTTACCTTATGTAAAATGTATCAACCCCTACGAAAAATGTATCAACCCCTCTTTTTTTTGTCCATGTAACGTAGACACTGGGAGTCAGGAAGCAGGTGCAGTTGGAGAGTTTAATAGAACATCAAAAATAAACATTACAAAAACAGGAGTAGCGTCGGGACATGGAAACAGAGTCAATAACGCCTGATGGGAAATAACAACAGAGTGCTATATAAATGGGGAGTAATCAGGAAGGTGATAGAGTCCAGGTGTGCCTGATGATGAGGCGCAGGTGTGCATAATGATGGGTAGCCAGGGCCGGTGGTTAGTAAACCGGCGACGTAGAACGCCGGAGGGGAGGTCCCACGGTGGCGCCGCTCCTAGTTAAATCAACTCAGAAGTGTGAAGTCCCCAGCGAGTTCCTCATGCGAATGTAGCCTTACTACCTTCTTAGGCCATTCCGGACGGACATAGACCGTTTGTTAAAGCCAGGCGTTGTGCATGCCACAGACAGCACACCCTCTGGGTTATAAATCCCTTCGAAAAGGCTGATAAAGAGGATGAAAAGATGCAGAGAGAGGATGGGCTTGTGATATAAGATGTCCATGCAGTGTTGTGGCATTTGAAAGGATCTGTGTTGTGAGGTGAGGTCACCTGGTATTCCTCACTGTTTGAGATCTGGGCCCATTACAAAACGTATCAGTGTATGACTGCTGATTTAGGATCAGTTTTAGTATTAATAGTTCATAATTAATAAGATTATATATGAACAGGGAGGTCCTGATCCTAGATCGGCACTCCTACTCTGAGACACTTTGTGAATACGAGCCCAAATCCTTGAGCCACTCCTTCAAGGATACCACCTCATCCTTCACCTGTCCCTGATGATGTCACCGATCAAATCCACTTTGACACGGTCTGGGATGCCTATATCCCAGGGCTTTTGAAAAATATACTGCTTGCTTATGCTTTTCTGGAGGAAAACCATGTAACATAAATGTCAAGGCTGAGATTAATCTCTGCAGGATGAAAATCAATAGCCTTTCAAGTGCGAGTCAATGCAGAAACGAATAGCTAACAAACCCAGGCCGTAAAAGAGCATGGGCTCCTTGCACACGTTGGTTGTAAAGAGAAGAGATGATGGTGCTTAAGTATTCTGTTGGCTCATGTCACTTTACAGGATTGGCCTGCTCCAGGGTAATATAATGGTCAGAGAGCTGAAGAACTTTGACTCTTGTAAGGGTGCCACATTGGCTGAGGAGAGCCATTCATTGCCAGAGAATTGGATGATAGACCTATTTAGATAATATCCATTACTTACAGTATCTGTGAATCTGGGAGGGAAATGGCAATAACAATGGGAATTGGATGGGAATAGACAGAGAAAATAAGGAGGAAAGGGTTGATTTCTCTCAATGTTTCAGCACCACAGACAGTTCGTCCTTCCCTTGTCTCACCAACTCTTCCTCTTTCCCTTGGGACTAGCTGATGCCAGGCTCCTTTGACGTCACATACATCCATCACAGACCTCATGCACCTATAGAAGTTTCAATGCTTTGAATTATGTTGTAGAATCATGGTTTCACCCAACAGTGTTTTTCTGTTGGTTATTCTCCCTGAATGCCTTCAATGATGAATTAGTAGGTGACCAAATACATGGATGGATAGAAACACCACTAGGTATATCTTGTCGTACTGGAGTGGAAACACATTTCCATTGCAAAAATATGCAATTATGTTGTCATAATAATGTATAATGTTTTATTAAGACATTTATCAGCAAAATATTAATCAGAGCACATTCACTTATGTGTAGGCTACATTCTCCCATGCCCCTAAGCTGCTGACTAGCACTTTGGGACCTTTTTATTTGATTAGACTTGAACTCAGAAATGAGGAGTGCTTGCTCTGGGTCGGGTGGAGTGCACTCAATCCATCCTGGAACCACACCCACGTACAATGTAATGCCACTATACTTTTTAGAAACTGTCTATCCTTCCCAGAGCTCACAAAATGTCATTTTCGGGGGTTCCATGGCGTTTAAAGGCTGTAAGGGGAAGATAAAGTGAGTTGTCTCTTTAAATCAACGCTGCAGTGTTGATGTGCCCTCGAGCTGAGATGGTAAGAACCATTTCCACCTCTGCGGCAGGAAGCCTGACCAAATAGGCGCACGAGAGCGCTCCAGACGACGTAGCCTACCGAGTGGAACCCATCCCCATGGTTACTTGTGCTCTTTGGTCGCTACCAATCTTGGAGAGAGAGGCTATTTGTAAATCTTACAAGCTATTACTGGAGTGATAATTTTCAGTTTATCTCTAGCGAATGGCATTATTACATTTTTATTTTGTCATTTTTTATTCCATCCGCAGAACTCCGTGGCAGTTGCCTCAATCCATTTACCGCTGGCTGGTACGCCTAACCCCTCTGCGTTGCAATCTGTTGATAACTCGACTTGCAAGCTGCAGTTTATTGTCTTTCGAAATGGGAAACTCTTTCCTTGCACAGGGAATTCGTCAAATCTTGCAGATGATGGAAAACGTAGGAGCGTTTCGACACCAGTTGCTTTCACCAAATTAGGTAAGAGGAAATGCATGCATTTTATCATCATGGCTCTGATGTCAACGTTGTCTAAAATTATGATCCGCTGTAGACAAACACAGGGACACCCACATGCATACAAAAAAAGAAAAAGTGCGCAGCCTGTAGAGATTTGATCCATATTACATATTGTTGATAAAAACACATGTATGTCTAAATATCTGTATCCTAAACACATAGCCTAATTCACACCACATTTGAATAATCTTTATATGCCTGTTATTTCTTTTCATTTTATAATATTTTGTCGTTACCATCCTCCTGATGATATATGTGGCAGATGTTTAATACCTTTTAAACCTTTAACATAAACATGTCAATGAAATATACATATACATTATGAAAGAAGGCAGAATGAATAATAATTTATGGTTAATTGACCGTCAAACGAATGTGCTTGTGTAGTCTACGTGTGACAGTGTGTTCGTTTCTGTCCATGGATCTTGGATGTTGCGCTTAGACTTTCCACTTGGTTTCCCTAATTTAATGTGTTGCTTTCTTGCAGATGGGTGCAGCCTCGGGAGCGCCGTGCACTCGGTTACCATTGCTCTCAGGCACTTCGCGCTGGGTGTAGACCCCACTGCAGCCTATTGGGATTTTGACCTGCTAGATGGGCACGGTGGCTGGCGGGCAGAGGGGTGCCACATAACAGGCTCCACGGGCAACACGACCACCATTCATTGCACTCATCACAATAACTTTGCGGTGCTAATGGTGAGTACAGAAGTGACCTTATTCCAATCCTCTCACAGGACACCCTGTCCCCGGCTTTCTCGCGGCTTGTTGCTTATAATGAATCCAATACATCATTTTGCACAAAGAAGTAGTCACGTGATTTGCCAAGCACTTCGTGATATAAGGGACCTTTCAAAATCTTGCTTTATTGTTGTAGCCTACTTCCGCGGAGGAAAATGTAATAGGGAGATACGCAATGGTACCATGGCTGAGGATTGTATTACTCGTTTTTTCTACATTTTGGAAATACGAAGTTGGTTGTCTTGTCTGCCACCTCTGCTAAAGGGAGTACGGCAGCTCAAATCGAAACGATGCTCAATAGAACGAGCGCCTTGTCAGTATTCGCCTGCAAGTCAAGCGCAAGTGGTGTACTAATTGGTTGCAACCTTCTTCCACCGAAATGTTCGATTGTAAAGCAAGCTATCATTAAATCTATCTCGCTCAAGTTGGTCGTGGTGTCGTCGCGGTGTGTATTTACGAATACCTTCTCCTGTCGACGTCCTCTATTAAAATTGATTTCATGAGGATAATACCGACAGCGCAATGGCATCGCATCGCTCAGTCGTTCCGTAGTGCCTCTGCGCCTAGTCCGCGTTTGGAAGGACAGCAATCCTCCGGATGTTTACCGAAGAGTGGGATTCGCTAGATTGGGAGGTTAGTCCTTATAGTGCATGAAAGTGGTGTTCTGTGGAATGTTGTTGTTTTTCCGAGTTGCTTTTATCTATATATTTGATGGAGCTGTTCAATTTCGTTCTTATACCTGTGGGTAGAAATAAGCCGGTTGAAAAGCAGAAATGAAAGAGTTTGTGTGTGAGACAGGGGAGAAAAAGCAGCATAGTGAGAGAAAGGGATGGTGTGCATGGAATATCAAGCTGTTGTCAGATAGAGCGCAGATGTCAGATTGTCATTGCGTGGGGCTGTGGCAATGTAGGCTATGTATTTAATATACAACCTGGGCTAGGGGAGACGCTTGATGGCACGCTATTATTGGGATGGTGGCAGTCAGCGCACAAGCAATGTGAGATCGCAAGGCAATTTAGTGAATAGACCTGACAACAGATTCATGATTTGAACTTCTGGGCACATCAATTGGAAGTGCTGGTTGTGGTGGGCGGGTAGCTGTTGCCGTCTGGTCTCTCCAATGAAAGCAGATTATATTATTCGGGTGTTTAAGTGGAGACTGCGCGTGCTTTACTAATGCAGTCACCACACCCGCAGTAGAATCTGCAGTGCCCGAGAAAAGGACCCTTATTTACGGACTCGTGACATCACTATTTTTTCTGCACTATCTCTGTTGCAGTATGATTTCTCCCTCCTGTCTGACTCTGTATTACTGAACCTGTTGCGTGATCTCCTCATGGCAAGCTGGAACCGTTCTGGTCATGTGTTGTCTACCACCATATGTTATCTTGTAATGTGTTATAAACTGATGTTAGTGACTCTAGCATGGTCATTGAAGCAGGTTTGGATCACCCAAAAAAACTTGAACACAGCTGCCTTGATGTACAGAATGACAACAACTGTGTTAATGCTAAATCTAGTGATCTCAACAAGTTGTAAACTCTACCCAAACTTTTAGTGTGGTTGTTGAATATACAAGTAATGCTGAATAGATGTAATGTTCCTATTAGAAAACCCCCAGCATTTATTTCAGAAATGGTCTTAGTGTATGTAGCTGTGGTATTATCATCCTGGGCAGTTCAGCAGCACAGTGTGATCAGATGATATAGTATTCACCTCTGAGGTGAACCACTGCCTGAACTGCAATAAAGTAGAGCCATCATGGCACTGTCTGACCTCAAATGAGCCACAGTCAAATGTCTGCCAGGTACAACACAAGAAACCATTAGAGGATAAATCTGCAACTTTGAACAGAATGACACAGGGGCAAACAATGAAAGACAGCTCTGAGAGATGGCAAATCGAGAACCATCATCTCGTCTGAAAGGCACACTAGCAATCTCCAGCTCTAATAATGTAGTCAGTTCTCATTCAGCACTTTGGGGCTTGTGTGGAGATGATTAGTCTACAAAAAGTGTGACAGCCCAATCCAGTTATGGTTTGTTATATTAAAAGCAATTTAATGAGATTCTTTTGACTTGGCTTAGGAGAATTTAATGCTAGAGTCTCTCGCGTAGACCAGTGACCAGAATGCTAAATGAAAGTAAGAAGGATCATTTTATTGAAGGAGCTCTGTGATGTCCTTGTGTTTCTGTTTGGATTAGCCCCTAGATATGAATATGAATATAGATATGAATAACACACAAGTGTATAACAACTTTTGGGTCATGGAATAGACAGCAGGTAGATTACTAATAGCACTTGTTTCCTTATAGTATGTGAATACCAAATTCTATTATAAGATAGTAGTTGGTATTGGGCTCATTAAAGAAGAGATGGTGAGCTCCTTTGCTGTGTTAACTGTTGAGTCATATGTTGGCAAATCAGAGAGATAGGAGACGCATAGCATGATGCCTTTCAGGTTTCAGCACCACGGACAGTTCCTTCTGGAGCTTCCTGCTGAATGTCATGCAATTGCAGACACCGATATGTTTCAGCGCCATGGACAGTTCCAGTTATCCCCTTGCCTTGCTAAGTCTACTCCTCTATGTAACATTATATTGTACGATATGTTTGTTTGTGTTAGTAACTGAAAGAGATGCTGTAGCTTGACTCTCCAGGTTTCAGAACCATGGACAGATCCAGACTCCTCTGCACACAGTAGCCTTTGGGAATGCCAAATTATATTGTAAGTTATGTTTGCATTTGAGTTACTCAGATTGAAGATACATGCTGTGGCATGCATGCTCTCGGTATCAGCACCATGGACAGCTCCAGCTCTAGTCCTTCCCTGGCCCCCTCCTCTCAGTGTGTGTACTGTAGCCCACTAGGCCTGTGTCTGTAGGGAGGGCAAGGCTGACTCATTCATTTACAGCATTGCAGTCTGATCGTTCATCTTCATCAGTGACAGTCTTTTTTCCTCTTAACCTGTGTGTGTGTGTCTATCGCTGTCAGCCATGATGGCATTTTTAGATGGGGCTAAACATAAGGTATAGTCTGAGAGGCAAAGTCCTCTCCATGTGATTGCGCTAGTGCTCCCACCTGTTTAATATGCAAGGACAGACCTTTACAGAGAGCAGAATGCAGGGAAAAGCTGGCTTTGTCAGTATCCAACCATGACAAAGGCTCCAAAGTCGTAAGCCAATAGAAGAGGATCTATTGAGAGATGCATTTCTATAGCCTGTAGGGCAGGCTGACTGTGTGATGCTGAGCGGACATGCATAACATGCTAGTAGATACCCATAGACTTCCAGTCATTGCGCTAATGCTAGTTAGCATTGGCTCGCGAAACTAACTCTAACTTCATACTGGACACACAGACATACAAATAGTATCCACGAGTTCCTCTGACTCTGGGGAAGTAGTTAAAGGGCCTCATTGCCAAAATCCCAAAGTATCCCTTTAAGTTAACTGTCTAAAATGTACTAAATGCTCTGCAGTTGTGCATTTGGTTTGCTAATTTAGTAGCTAGATATCTAGCTAAGTGGTTATCTTCTTGCAAAATCAAGCTTCTTATGGTAACATCAGAGAATCCCCTCCTGGATCAATATTTGTTATTCTGCATGCAGCAAACTGTGAGTAGCATTTTTGAGTTACTTGTAACTTTATGAGCTGGGATGTCTGTCCTGCAAATAGTTTGTCAGAGACTGTATAAAATGTTCACAATGTGCTCGTTTGCATTTAGCTAGCGTTTGCTATGGGATTTGACATGTACTTGTTAGCATTAATAGCCTTCGGATTACAAAAGTTCAGTGGGGTTTGAAAATAGTGCCCCTTGTGTTCAGTGCTGGTATTACCGAATATCTTGCGATGGCACAAGGTCGGTATAAAGGTATGACAATCTAGATTCTGCCCAATGCTTAGAGCCGTGGGGTTATACATCCTAGAATACACCATTTTACCACGTAGAGCACAACACCCATCTAATAACAAAAACATGGACATGAATAAACTATGCATACTGTGGATAAAGGAAATATTTTTGGGGAGGATAGTAATCTGTATTGAGAGTATACCAATGGCAAGCAGGAGAGACCGTGTACATGTATTTTCTTTGTCTCATCCTTCTTATCTGTTGGCATCATTGTGGTGGAATTATACATGCTGTTTTGACTCTCCCTCCCCCAACACACATGCGCGCACACACACACACACACAAATACACACCCACACACACAATCCCCCCCACAAACACAACCCCACCATGTTTGTGTTGGTGTCAGACTGTGTGATAACGATGAGGGTTAGGGCATCGCTAACGATTTGTGAGCCACTTACCCGTGCTTAACTCTGACCCCTGGTTCTCCCACTCTTGTTTTAAAGATGGATGCATATGGAGAGGAGCACAAATCTATTCCCATGTATGCATAGGCGATCAGCATCGCTACGCCTTCAGGTTTCTGACTGAGAGGCTCATTCAGTCTGCTGTGCCAGAACATAGAATCAATTCTCCTTTTATACTGTCTGAGAGGAGATTTCCAAAGAGTTTTTAAGCTGCTTGAGGACACCTGGGGATAAATGATCCTTTTGATTAGAAGGTGCCTCAGTTTCTCACTCAGTTGAACATTATTATAACATTTAGACAATTATGAAAATCAAATGAATACACAGGTTCATATTGTTATTTTTCCACATATTCAGATGCCATTCTGTTGGTATGATAGGAAGTAGGTTTTTTCATACGAAGTTGTTGGGTGGATGAAGAATCAGGCCATGTGTGTTGTCTGTGGTTGTATGACAGTACCACTGAAGTGTTGAGTTGTGTGTTGAAAAAAGTGTTCAGCCTTTTTTTTTTTTTTTACAAATGATTTGCCACTGGCCTTACAGAAAGCTAGAATGACTATGTATGCGGAGATTCCACACTTCATGTCATCACCCAAAGCCAGTGACCTCACTGAATTTCTAAATAAGGAGTTACAGTCAGTACCTGAATGGGTGATTAATAATAAACAGGTCTTAAATACATCTAAAACTAAAAGCATTCTATTTGGTTCAAAACATTCTCTAAGACCCTTAGCTGGAGTTGTGTATA